CTTTAGGGCAGCCGGGGAGGCTCTGGCCGAGCTGTGTGTCTGTGTGTGTGTGTCTGCGCGTGCCCCCCCCTCTCACCATGGAGGCCAGGATGGGCAGGAAGAGGGTGGTGGTGGCGACGTTGCTGGTGCATTCGGTGAAGACGGCTACGAGCAGGCAGAGGATGAAGGTGATGGCCGGGTGCGGGATGCTCTGCAGCGGCGTCAGCTTGTCCCCCAGCCAGCCGGAGAGGCCCGAGACCTGCGAGGCCCCCGGAGGAGAGGAAGAAAGTGAAGGGGGGGCGGAGGGGGCCCCGGGGCCAGCCCCCCACCCCGGACTTTCCCACGCGCCCAGAGCCCGACTCCTGGCCACGGCGCGGATGTGGCGGGCCTCGCGCGCCCCCTGGTGGCGCCAAAGGGCTTTTCTCCGGCCGAGCCGGCGCCGCTTGCGGTTTCCAACAGGCGGCTCGCGGGCGCCCGGGGACGATCGGGAGGAAAGAAACGCCCCCCACCCACCACCACTCCGCCCGCTGCGCTTCCCAGCCCTGACCTCGCTGCCTTTGGCCAAGGCGAAGCCCCCTCCCAGGAGGATGACGATGTTCCAGGGCATGTGCCGGTTGACGGTGGTCCAGTCCAGGAGGGCGGGGGGCGCGCGGATCTGCCCAGAGCCGCCTGCAAGAGAAGCGGGGAGGGGAGGAAGCAACTCCGCTCCGGGAAGACCGGGGAGAAAAGGCCAATCCGTCCTGGCGGAGGCCATTCGCTCCCCCCACTCACAAACCACTTTCCCCTTGATCTTCCCACCTGGGGATGCTGCGTTAATTTGGGGGGGGGGCGTCTTCCTCTCAAGACCGAACCAGTCGCCCCACTTCGCCTCCCCTCCCAAAGTCCTCAGGGGCAGAAGTGGCCCAATGTCTTCCTGCGTTTTTTGGGAGGGAATATGGGGGGGGGGGTGTCTCCAAAGCTGGCAGCTTTGCAACTGGTGGGCTTCAATATCCAGAATTCCTTTGGCAGCTGGCTGGGGAATTCTGGGAGTTGGAGTCCACAAGTGTTAAAGTGGTCAGCTTTGGGGACCCCCAGAATAAATCAGAGAGTCTCCTTCCTGGGATCCTCCTGAATCCAAACTCCAAATTCTCTCCTTGAAGTTTTCTCCTCTCTCTGCCTCCCACCCCCACCCCATTTATTTTGGGTTAGTACAAGTTTTAGATGGGGAGCTGGGGGAGGGGGGGGAGACCAGCAATTCCCCCTCCCGACTGCCAGAAAGAATCGCAAACGTTGAAGGAGTTGCTCCCCCAGATCCCTTCTGATCTCGGGGGTCCTAAGTGAGGGGGCCAGCCCAGTGTAGGAGCACCAGGCCGCTTGAGCCTTCCCTGGGGGCCTGCCAGGAGGGCTCCCCCAGCTGCTCCCTCTGCCAGCCTGGCACCCTCTGCTTACCTTCCTGCTGGGCCTTACGACAGCTGGGCAGTTCGGAGGGGATCACGAACATCAGCAGTGAGATGAAGATGACCACGGTGGCGTCCGTGATGTGGCTGTAAGATGGAGTCCAGCGTCACTCAGCCCCCTCCCCTACGGTTGAGACGGGTGGGAGGGAGAGGCCTGAAGGACGGTGGGGAGGGGGGGTCTTTGGCTGCCTCAAACGCAGCCCTGGGGGTGGGCGAGGGGCGAGGGGAGGACCTTATCCAGAGCTCCGAGACCTCCACCTGAGCCGGGCCCCCTCCTCACCTCTTCCCCTTCTGGCTGAAGAGGGCGTTGGCCCAGCCGGGCATGAAGCCAGGCTCCCGGGTGAACCAAAGGACCACCAGGACGATGAAGAGGGCAAGGACGGCCCCCTCGGAGAACTTCATGCGGCCCAACGCCCGGTACTCGCTCCGGATGATGCTGTAGGCCTGGTCCAACTTCTGCTTCTCCGCCTCACTGCTGCCGCAGCCGAAGTTCTTTTTGAAGCTGGGAAGTTTGGAGGGAAAGGATGTGGGGCAGCCAGCAGAGGGGATTCTCCCCCCCCTCCACCCTGTGCCTTGTCCTGGAAGGGTCACTTGGCCGGAGGTCTCTGTGGACAGGCTGCCCCTCCCTCCCTCCCTCCCTCCACTCAGGGCCTCTGGAGGCTGACCGAGTCCCTCTATCTAGTGGCTTCCCTATCCTGGAGACCAGGCACAGCCCCCAACCCAATTAAGGGGGCAGGAGGGAACCCAGTGGCCTCTTCCATGAGCCTCCTCCCCACCGGTTCCCCCCCCGCAGGGCCAAAGGAGGCCCAGAGACTCACTCCACGCCGAGGAACATCACCAGCAGCCACAGCCAGGAGAGGACCAGCAGCACCAGCATGGCTGGGAAGGCGAAGGTGAACCAGGAGGCAAAATTCACCACGTTGTCATTGCGGCAGAAGAGCCTGGCGAGGAGAGACCCTCCCTGTCATTGTGCCCTCTGGAAGACACCCCCCTCCCAGCCCCTGCCTCCAGAAACTGCCCACCACAGTCTTTCCCAGCCTCAGGTGGCCAATTGGGGGCAGGAGTTCTGGCCCCTCCCCGTCTGAAAGTGGCCAAGGCTAAGGAGGGTTCTGGTCTGCAGGTGGCACAATGGCAGCGCCAGGAAATGGGCATCCCCAGCCGACCATCTTCCTTAGGGGGAGAAACTAAGGGAAGCCACCTGGAACTGAGGAGGGATTTCCTGACAATGAGAAGAATTGACCGGTGGAATGGCTTCCCTCCAGAAGTGACGAAGGCAGGAAGCTTTTAAGAAGAGCCATTTCTCCAGAAAAGTCTAGGCTCTCCTGCCTGAGCAGGGGGTTGGACTAGAAGACCTCCAAGGTCCCTTCCAGCCCCAGGATTCTATGATTCAGGAAGGGAAGGAAGGGGATGGGAAGGAGAAGGGGGGAGGCTAGGAAGGAAGGAAGGAAGGAAGGAAGAATGGTGGAGGGAGGGAGGAATGAGAAGAAAGGAAGGGAAGGGGACAAAGAGGAGATGGATGGATTGAAGGAAGGAAGGAAAGATGGAGGGAGGGAGGGAGGGATGAGAAGAAAGGAAGGGAAGGGGACAAAGAGGAGATGGGTGGATTGAAGGAAGGAAGGAAAGATGGAGGGAGGGAGGGAGGGATGAGAAGAAAGGAAGGAAAAGCAATGGATGGAAACTGATCAAGATGAGATCCAACTCCGAATGGAGGAATTTCCTGACAGAACAATTAACCCCTGGAGTAGTTTTCCTCCAGATGTTGCAGCTGCTCCATCACGTCTCAAAAATAGACTGGCCAGCCATTTGACCGGTACGGCATAAGAGAAGGTCTGCTTGCGCAGGGGGCTGGACTAGAAGACCTCTGTGGCCCCTTCCAGCCCTAGGGTTCTACTTCTATTTCAGCAGCTGGTGCAAGGCAAGGAAAGCTTCGGAATATAGAATAAGAGAGCTGGAAGGGGACCCTGGAGGTCCTCTAGTCCAACCCCCTGCTGAAGCATTCAAGAGGAAAAGGGCCCACCCTCCGTGCCCCTCGCAGTCACCCCTTTGGGGAGGAGGGGTCTCTTCTGCAGAAGCAAAGGATCCCCCACCCCTTCATGAGGGGCTTCTGCTAGCCGCTGGGAACCTGGGAAGGAGCGATGGGGAAAGCAGCAGGGAGACCCTTCTGAACCCCCCACCCTGAAAGGCTCTGGGGAAGGAAGCGGGCAATGGGGCCGTGCCAGGAGATGCTTGGCAGCGTAGGAGCCCCCTACTCACTCGTCCATCTGCCCCTTCATCACCAGGTTGGGGGTGGTGCCTGTCAGGGTGGCGATGCCGCCGATGCTGGCGGAGTAGCAGACGGCCAGGCTCATGCCCTTGCTGAGGGTCTGGTGTTTCTTCAGCAGCTGCTGCCGGTCTTCCTCGGGCAGCTTCTGCTCGGCCTCCTCGGGCAGCTTCTCCTTCACCACCACCTGCACGTGGGTGTTGCCTGGGGGCCCGTGAGAGGGGGAAGGGTCCATCAGCAAGCTTGGCGGGAGGGCAGCGGGCCAGAGACCACCCCCTCTCCTGGCTCCTGGACTCTGCTGCTTTGCCCAGGGTCCCCGTTGCACAGGACAAGGGACAGACCCAGAGCCACACCAGAGGAGGGGGTTGGCAGTGCCCTGTGGCGGAGAGGCTGAGTGGGCACCTGGCCCAGCTCTGAAAAAAGGCCTCTGGAAGCCTCCTGGTGGCCCGGCAGCTTCAGAGTGAGAGTGAGTTAGAGTTTATTATATTTATTATATTTCTATGCCGCCCTATTCCCCGGAGGGGACTCAGGGCGGCTCACAACTAAGTCGGGGGGTGGGGGTGGGTGGGTGTTACAAATAAAAAAAAGAACATGAATAAAACAGTACCACAATTTAAAACACTCAACAGTCATACCATTCGAGGGGGGGACAAAAAACTCATCAGCCCCAGGCCTGTCGGAACAGCCAGGTTTTAAGGGCTTTGCGGAAGGCCTGGAGGGTGGCGAGGGTCCGAATCTCCACGGAGAGCTCGTTCAGGTGAGGAGTGGTTGATGCCAAGGGAGTCTGGGCAGTTCAGGGTGGAACTGTGGGGTGCTTGGTTCCCTCTGAGCTTGGTGGTTTTCTTGCAGGCGTTTCATCACCCAACTAGGGAACATCATCAGTGGCAGTGTGATAACTAAATGGCTGAAAACAAAGCACCAGGCTCTGAGAACCCCAAGGACCACAGTCGTCCTCCTCTTCCTCCTCCACGCAACCTGCCTCTCTTCTAGCACTGATGCTGTTCCCTAGTTGGGTCATGAAATGTCTGCAAGAAAACCACCATGCTCAGAGAGAGCCCCCGGGGCCCCACAGGGTCATGGATGCCCTCGGCCTTCCTGAAGGCCAGCAAAGGCCGAGGCAGCCAGTCTTATGGAAACCATGCCCTGCCCGCCCTCACACCC